TCTACTGAATGTTGTAATCCTTTAAGTTTGTTCTTCGCGGTAATGGTCTGATTTGGATTTTGTTTGCGTGGTTAAACATGCGATTTATAAACTTATTATTGGGAATTCTATTATATCATAAAGCTCGTCCCTAACCGCTGGAACACCAATTTTATCCTCAAAGAAATGCGCGATAATGCATCGGCTACTGTGTTCTTTCCGCCTTTTACATGTACGTCTTTAATATTATAGCTTTGTAATTCAATAATCCATCTAGCTGGATTATGAGTTTTGCTTTTGTCCAAAAGAAAAGTCAGGGGTTTATTATCACTATGCAAAATGACTTCTAACATACAAATATAAGGTTTGAATTGTCGCAGTGCGTAAATGTGCACCTAATTTCACCTGTACTGTTAGCCAGCTCTCGGTGTCACTTAACGTACGACTGCAGTATGCGATGGCATGATATTTATTAGATCCCAAATCACGTTCTTGCATGTGCCAGCTTGAGCTACTAAACTAGCATCTGTAAAGATATGGAACGGTTTCTCATAATCTGGGTAGCCTAAAATGGCTTTTTGTAATAATGCGTCCCTTAATTCTATAAAGGCGTCTTCTTGGATATCTGTCCATTTGAATTTATTATCTTTACGTGTAGGCCAGGTAAGCGGTTCTGCTATATTTGCAAAATTAGATATGAATTTTTGGAAGAAGCCAACCATGCCTAAAAAACGTTTGACTTCTTCGTCATTTCGTGGAATAGAGAAGTCTTTAATAGACCTAGTATTAGCCTCTGCTGGTGAATAGTTATCCACACTTACTATGTCCGAGAAATGTAATTGAATGTCTGGCGAAAACACACTTTTTTGGAGATGCCTTTAGGTGAAATTCACGGAGGCGCGTCAATACTTTTCGAATAGCATTTAAGTGTGAAGTGAAGTCTTTGCTATAAATTAGAATGTCGTCAATGTAAGCTAAGATATTGTCTTCTATTCCTCCTAATACCCGAGTCATCATTTGCGCAAAGTCTACTGGCAGAATTTGAACAAAACAAATGTGTCATTTAATAGGCCCTATTTTCCGTTATTACGCCACATTTATAACTACCCTCATCATCTAATGGAAGCTGCAAATACCCACTGGCTAAATCTACCGGTAAAAACTGCTTCCACCTATTCTTTTTTAAACATCATGAATATTACCAACAGGATCGGATAAGGGTCAGGAAGAGTCACCTCTTTAATTGCCCGACGCATGTCTAAACAAAGGCGTAATAAAGTGTCCCTTTTTCGAGCTACTACTAAATTGTGAACCCACGGAGTGTGAGATTTCATCATCACATTTTAGTAACATATTTACGTGCTTTTGTGATTCTTATATTTGATTGGTACGCGGACGGATTCTAGACGGAGGATCGCTATTTGTGTAAATATGAACTTTCCCTGCTGTACAACTTCCTATATCATACTGATGGCGCGAAAAAACGTCTGCAAAATCGTTAAGAAGACTGGCGAGCTGTTCGCGTTGTTCTTCTGTAAGATCACTGATAAGGTCAACTCTGTAGCTTGGATCATCATTAACTACTGTATTAACGTATGAAAATGCGGGTAACGGTTGAACTTCTCTGCCTCATTATTGTAATTCCTTCGCGCTCTACTTCTGTGACAGTTGCTAAACGCATTCCAGCTTACAGCACAATTGGCTGATTGCTTGGATTGGACACCAAAATCATTGGGGAATTGGTATCAGTTAGGGCTGGAGCTACAAAGAAGTCCTTATCACTTAATTCAGAACTTTGTATCAAAACAAGCTCTTTTTGTGAGGATGCTGTTGGAACAGTGCAAGAAACAGAACATTCCGCATTTGGCTGTAGGCATACAGTCTCTTTTACTCTAATGGGATATTTTGCGCCTTTTTCTCTTCCTTTAAAGTATTGAGCCGTGTCCAACGGTAAAACTGTTGCTCCAAAACTAACTTCTTTTGCCTTGTAAACAACGGTTATGGGCGGCAACATGGATAAAATATCGTAACCTATAATTATTTCATAGTCTGAGTCCATATTAGGAACACAAGGGCCCTTAGAAAAGATAGATAAAGATACTGGACGTATTTATTGATACTGGAAGTATTTGAGTATTACCTATTTCTAAAAATACAGTCTTCGATCCAGCTATAGATACATGAATACCTGCCATCCCGATGGCTGAAGATATTTGAGGATTATCTAGGCTAAAGATCCCTAATGCTGCACGTAATTCGTTAGAAGCGAAAGTAATACTTAATCCTGTATCAATTAATGTGGACAGACACCCCATTAATTTCAATTCTAATGTGAGATGTTGTAACTGGTTTCGACAGTGTGACATGACAGACTTTAAGAAAATTATAGGCAGGAACTTTCATTTCAATGACTTCTGATGAGGGTTTGCCCAAACTGCTTGAAATCTGTGCTTTTCGTGGTTGAATTTTACGGAGATAACTTAGCATCCTCAAGGGGACTTGACAAGAAGTGTATAGCACTACGCGAATAAGAGCATTCAAAGTAATTATGGTGCAGTATATAATGTTCTATAGTTGATAAAGGGACGAAAGAATGAAAGTAAATGGATGTCTGGAATTTTAAATCCTAAAAGTCTGTTAAACTTGTCTGAAGTTTGATAATTTGAAACATGCGCATTTAAAACAGCTTGGTTACTTTCAATGGCTGGCCATAATTCACTGATTGTTGCCCAGATACAAATTTACTTAGGTCTGTAATAACTAAGTTATGAGATAGTGTGAGGGCAGGTTTAATTTCATTTTTCGGCGATTAGTTGAATGCTGAACTAGTGGAATATCTGTGGAATAACCTCATAGACACCAATTAGTGGAATATGTTACAATTAAATTGTTGTTAGAAAACTCAAAGGATAAATCTTTTCTTTGACAAAATTCCCATAATGGGATCGACAAATGTCCTATATAGACTTATTTGGAAGGTTTACAGTTATAATAAGAGTAGCTGGACGAACTGAATGTATTCAAAGAGAATGTAGACGATGTTATGGCAGCGCAAGCTCGTGTGCGTACAATGTTATTTCCTAAATATCTTGCTTTAATATCGGAGCGTTGCAAAAAATTACGCATAGCGGCTGTAGGATTTGCAGATACAGCTGCTATTACTGATGCACTAAGGGAATTATTTGAATTACAAAGAGAAAGGATAAAATGGTGGAAGGATGTATTGAAAGAATTTGCATATTGTCTTTAACTGCTAAAAGGTGGGCTGCTGATAGGTTTGTAGTGGCAATTCCAACTTGTTGCAAAATGGAATTCTCGGATTGTCGTTTTTGATGTGATTGGGTGAGAAAGTTTAACAGCATAACCTTGATCAGTAGGGATAAGAGAGTGTCCGCAATCAGATAAAGAGAATTCAGTGAGAAAAATGACAACGCGAATTCTTTAGAATCAATCAACCAAACTTTATCTACTAATGTTCTCTTCATGGTCGAAACTAAGGCATACCTGCAATTCTCCTGTGGTTCCTGTTCTCATACCACGGCTGCTCATGCTTTAGTGGTGCAGGTTCCGTCCTTGTAACGGCCCTATTGACTTTCGATGGTCGACAGCCATGATATGCATATAGTTGTCTGAGATACTACACAATTTGTTACTACTAAGGTGTAATCCGAGCAACAATGGAATGGAGTAGAAGGCCAACCGATTATGATTTTATTTAACGTTTTCCAAACGTTTCCGATTGCTGAAGTAAGCACATGCCTTATGGTTAATCATATGATGACACACTCCTTTAGATAAAATCTGTTCGTGTGAAACAGTATTTGAGTACGAGCGCCAAAAAAGTTAACCCAATAAGTCACAGTTGAGTTATTATACGACAAACATTGGCTATACTTTTGTATCTTATAGTGTTTGATCTATAGACTTTAATTTCACTGGTAGCGAAACCGCTGACCAATTAGACAAAATTCTTGTGCAGTCTCAGAAGGGATTTTCCAGTAACTAACAGGTTTCAGGCGAGCAGATACAGGCAGGAGGCAATTAAATAGCCGAAACATGAACATTAGGTAAAGCTAGCAGACAGGTGTAAGCGATCTTAGGTGGCCCTGATGTAGAAGAGTATTCACTACGAGGAGACTCATCGCGACGAAGTGGGTGTCTGGTTCATGGGTTGCAAACGCAATGTCTGCTAACGCGTTATTTCTTTAGTGCCGCAATATGCGCATGCTCTAGGAGTGATTGTTCGCCTTGATTAGGGGCATCTGGCGCCGAAGTCTGCTCGAGCGCTAATACATAAAAGGTATTATATTTCTGACCTCTGCTGCGGCGTGAAGTTACGTGTAGCGTTCTGTCGTAATTTAGGCGCTCTCTGTTACTTTCTCCCACGTTCAAACTCGGTGGAGCATTATCTCTTATGGGGGACTGACGCCTAGGCTGTAAGTTATTGGTTGGGGAAGGCATATAAGAACGGCAAACACTTTGGATGTGGCCTGGTTTACCGTATTTATAACACACTACATTAGAATTTGGTGAGCGTTGAAAATTATTTCTGGCATCATATCTATTAGAGTAAATCCATATCTCTCAGTAAATCCGTTTCTCTCTTGGCCTGAAGTTGTCCCGGTGGGGTTTCATCCTTCTTCGATTGTGGTCCATACCTCGGCTAGTGTCCGCAATGGGTTTTGCAACGAAAGTTCGGAGACCTGGGTTAAGTCATTGTATCCGACATCTCATTGCATAATGCTTCATAAGTAATGACCTTAACTACGGCTTCTTTATAAGTTTGAGGATTATGCGCTCTAATGTGGAACTTTAGAGTTGGAGTCATTCGACTACGAACTACCAAGAGTCTATCATTTATTAACACTTTTGAAGCATGGCGCATGACGGCATGAACAAGTTTTCTTAAGCGTTTATCATATGTTTGAACATCTTCATTTGGCTTTTGTCTACAGTTGGAAAGTTCTTGTCTTGCAATTGCACGAAAATGTGGCAATTCATATTGTGAACGCAAAATTCAACTATCTTGTCATAATTGTTCTTGTCTTTGGTTGCAATTCACTCACTTTGTCGCGAGCGTCCTCTTTCAGTACAGCAAAAAGAGCGTACACTTTGAGATGTTCTGGAATAGGTGGAATGGCATTTCGTACTAGGTCCTCGCGATCCCGGTGCCAGACATCAAGACTTTGATAGTTGTCCGCCGTGAAAAATTCAATATGTTTGGGAGCGAGCTTCCCGAGAGTAAGGCGGCCATAGGCACGAGACAATGCATCAATGTCCGGTGAAGTCATGCCTCCACCGGTTGTCGGCTTAGTTTGAACTCACGATCTGCGGTGGTGAAGCTCGAGAAGAGTCCGAATTGTCTTGCGTGTTAGCTTGGTAGCGAGTCGTAATACGTGTAATGTTGCCAGAATAGGAGAACGCGTGCTTCTCAATGACCTTAGCGAAGTGGATAAGGCACTTCGCTGAGGAATGATACCGCTCTTTCAACTTGGCGTGCTATATACGGTCCTCGATTGCACATTTCCTTTGTGCTCGCGCATCTTTATATCTGCCATTGGCAACACGTGCTTGATCAAAGCTAAGATTAAGAAATATTTGTGGAGTTTGACTTCATACAAAGGCACAAAGATGCTATCGCACATGGAAAATTCCGAAATTGCATGAATAGGAATTTGAAGCACGGAAAGATTGCGAGCAGTGCTTGTTTGATGGAGTCAAAGCGCTGTGAAGTTGCGAAGAATTTCGGCGAGGAGAAGGCTGACAAGGTTTACATGGGAAAGAGGTTTAACAAAGACCTATAGTAAGTTGAGAAGCGTTTGACCTCTTTATACACAAATTTGCATTACAATCGCGAGCAAAAAATTACGATTTTCCTGTAGTATTAGTCAAAACCCCTTTTTTGTGTCGTCAATTTCTGTTCAATCCACGTCATTTTGCGTTACAGATGCGATTACCACGTTAAAACACGTAATTCATCAAAATTGCAATAAGTCTGCTTTCCTGGTCCACAAGTGACGAGAACATGAGAGAGGAACGAATAAATTACCTATCGCCTACGTGTCGTTATCCAAATTCACAAAAATCTCACCGATAATCACAAATCACTAGGAAGATTGAGAAGAAACAAAGAACGATTATAAGTCAAGAGGCGGCCGTTCTCTAGACTCCATATGACTTTATTTTCAAGACAAACTTATCCCCAGTCGAGGCTTAAACAGGTCATCTTCTAAGCCATTCCTAGAAGGACACAAAAAACTAATGAAGAGGAAGAAATCGGTGAGATCGCGGGCTACTTTGAGGCCGCACTCGCTGCTACCAGTGATAGATGTCCTGTTGTCCCCTTTCCCGATGGAGATATATCTTACAATTCATAAAGCCTCGGATGCATCCAAAGAAGAAAATTCATACGATTTATCTCTTAACTCGACAATACTTCAATCATACAGCGATATATGACAGCAATGGGGAATGAACACCAATAATAGGAAGAGCCACAAAATGAGCCGGCTCACGTCGTGTTGGTTCCTCTCTGCCCGTAGCTTCCTCCAGCCGGCTCCTCCTCTCCTTATAAGGCTACGCGCGTTATTATCGAAGTTGTACGATCGAGTAGCTGTGTACCAATATTATTACACAAGTAAATGTTAATTACGTACTGCAATGTACGTAGCTCCAGACCCTTTAATTAGTGTAGA